ATGTTTGCAATGCTTTGTGTTCTCTCTTTCCTTTATGGTGGGGTCTCACACACTGGAACAAAGTGATTAACCCTGCGCCTCAATTCCTCTAAAAAGAATGGAAAAGAAAAAAAAAAAGAGCCCTCTCTCTGGGAGCCCTCTCTCTGGGCCATGCCTGGCACACTTCTATTTTTAACAGAGTAAAAAAGAAAATAACTAGTATCTGGGCTGCCTTAGGATCCCTTCCCCAGTCCTGTATCCTCAATGGCATGCCATCTCACAGCTGCTGAGGGTTCCCATTTCATGATCACTGTAATCCCAGTGCTAAAAGAGGAGGTCTTCAGCAGTCCCTGCTCTCTCCCCGGTGCTGGCTCTGGTAGTCATAGAGTCAAGCAGTGAGCCAAACCTGGGAACTAGTCCGGCTAAGAATGGACCATTTGGTGTTTTGTTGAGTTAGCTCCCAGCCAGATGTCAAGAACGAACAATGGGAATGCATAACTAGGCATGGAGAAGAAGGGAGATATACGCCACTTGGCACCAGTACTACAGCCTTACGTTGGATTCAACTGATTGTGGAGCTACAGCCTTACAGAGATGTAGAATGAAGAAAAAGAAGTCAAAACAGTTGCAACTTGCCTCTTCATTCTTGAAAGCATCAAGAATAGCATTGGCATCTGCAGGAGTAAGGGGGAATTTGAGTCGTGGTCCATAATAGGAGTCTGGAACATCAATACTGTTTTCATATTCTGTTAAGTCTGAGTTTGTCCTCTGAGGGCTGGTGAAAAAGTGAGAATCTGAAACAAGAGGCAAGAAAAACAACAACGTAGTAATCCCACGAGTCCCCCAGAATATGGCAACAGCATGACCAGAACTAGTGAGCATAACTGATGTTTAACTTGCTGCAGTATTACAGTCATTAGTTTATTCCTACCTTGTATGGTGGAACAACTCCAGATCTCCCCAAATTGTTTCATAATACTAAAAACAAAACAAACAAACAAATAAAAAAGCCCCAACAGTCAGTAGCTGTGATCAGGATGTAAAACGTTTTGCACTGAGGTTCAGGAACAATTTACTCTCCTAGACACTGAGTTGTCACGGAGTTTCTTCTCCTTCCCTTGCACAGCAAGGAGATTCAAAAGCCATGGCTGATCAATGACCTTGACCCATTTACAACTCAACATTACACTTTTAATACATGTTTTAAAAATCCACTTTCATTTTCTCTGCAAGCTGAACACCAGAAGCTCACTGAAGTTTCAAAAAGCCAACAACAAAATCCTATTTCTTCCTAGCGGCTTGCAAAGCACGCCTTTCTGCTGCAACCAGAACAAGCCTCTCTGCTCCATTGGCTGGCTGCCATAAAACCATTGGATGAAATAAAGTGAACACAAGCACAGTGGTGAAAGCAGAGCACAGCGTCTTCTAATTTTCCTAGAGCACGGAGAAAGCAGGAACATTGCTAATTGCTTCAATCCAATATCTGTAATACGCCCTTGAACATATATCTGAGTGAAAGCAGAATTAAGGGTTTCTTCTTGCAGATCGCCTTATCGTCTATTATTCCAAAAGAGAGAACTAGAATCCCAAACGCCAGCGCTCTAGCAGTCGCTGTTATGGGGTTGCTCCTGTGAGGTGACTGTCGTAAACACTTTGTGCTGGGTTGCAGTTAAGTGGTGTGTAACCTTCGTAAGATGCAGCTGGAAATAGAGACGTATTATGTATCGCTGGAGGCATACCTGTGGCTGTGACAGAAAACTGACAGCAGCCGAAACCTGTGCGTGGCCTCATAAATTACGAGATTCATAAAGACCAGCTTGTTTTGTAACTGGAGAAATTTCGTTTTAAAGAAACAAGTAGATAAAAGCTATGCTTTTTATCAGCTCTGGATAAAGAACAATGTTTTTTACTAGCTCTGCTGCGAGCTGATTAGTACATTCAATACACAGCCATGCAAGTGGATTAAGGCATCAAGTAACAGCAAGGTGCTCGGGGTTCACAGTTTCCATCAAGTGCAGTCTGATTTGCAGCCTTTCACCACAGTTACAGCTTTGCCTGGCCAGATGCCAGCTCGTTGCACGAGGACTGAAACTGCTGGTTCCCACACACTGAGCACCCAGTTCCCACATGCCCAGCTGGCTCCCACACACCCAGCATAGCTGGACCGAGCCTCGCCACAGAGCTAGCCATGGGTCTCTGCGCTGCGTCTCTGTCCGTCATCCCGCCCCTCCCGAAGTGGGTTGCTGCAGATCACAGAGCTGCTTCCTCAGACCATCCAAATTGCCCCTTGCTCACATGTGCTGCCCCAGAGGCCTCTCTCAGCCCCCTGCACACAGCAGGGCAGGAAAGCAAGGTTCCCCGGTGTAGCAGAGGCATCACCTAACTGTAGGTGTAAAGTGTGCTAGGGAGTTAGAGCTCTTAGCAAAGCAGCGGGAGCTGTGGCACACTCCCTCTCACCACCTGACATTACTCTGCTTCACAGAGTCGCCTTCTTCTTGGCATTGCAGACTAGACACATGCCCAAGTTCACTCTCCCTGCGGACCCCCCTTCCCGCAGGCAGCACGGCTGCCCTTCTCTCCATCCCCTGACAGAGACCCCGCCGTCCTCATTGGTTCTGCTCTTTTTTAGCTGCTTGCCCGGGCTGAGAAACTGAATCTCCTCCCCTCCCCTCCCTTCTCCTTCCCCTCCTTCCCCGTTTTCCACTGCTGGATGCGGAGTCAAGAGCCAGCCGTGGTCATTAAGCCTTGGAGGGCTCTCATACCTCCTCCTCAGCCATTTGGCTAGATTTTAGGGCTATTTCCTGTGCAGGATGACTGTCTCATCTAGGAGCAGGCAGCAACTCATCCAGTAATAGACAGATGTCCTAATGCAGCCGGGAGACTAGTGTGTACTGACCCAGGAGTGCCCCAGCTTGCCACAAGCCCCATGCAGGACGAATCCTGAAGGAACCCCTCATTTCAGTCATCTAAAAGTTACAGTTCTTAGTCTACATTGTCAAGGCCATATAAACATAAGGACGATGACTCTAGAAGTGCCTACTGCAGGCACCTAGCTTAACACAGAGGGAAATACCGTTTTGTGAATCTCTCTCCCCTGACGGCAGAGGGAGCCTCCTCGGTGATGATTTGCTCAGCACGCTGACAGTAGTGGTGTAGTCAGTAGTGTAGTGGTGTAGTAGTTCAGTGTGGTGTAGTACTTCAGTGAGTTAAGCCTTTGCTACCTGCAGCCCCTATATGACTATCCTGCTGTTTACAGGACAACAGCCGTACTCCGTGTTCAAGCAAACACAGAAGTCCAGAATGACACGGAGTGAACTGAGCCACAGAAAGCCCAGGGACCTGATTCTCCCGACCAGACCACCTCACCATGGGAGTTCAAGGCAAGTCCAAGACACCACTACAGAGACATACTCACTGCTGGGTAACAGGAAACCAGTTAATTCCCTGGCTCTGAAATATTCGCTTCCCTTTCTGTCACCACCCATGCGCCTTTGAGGTAGCCAAAGGGAGGTGCTGGCACACAGCCAGTGCCATCTTTAGGACGAATGGACAACAGCAAGCTCCCACAGCATAAATTAGCCTGACCAGAGATCTTGGGATTAAAAGACTGAGTAGGTATGCAGACTTTTTTTTTTTTTTTTTGAAAGGAAGACAAAAGTGTAGCATGGCAGAGGTTTTAATCCTTACTTCCTACAAATCCTTTGAAAATAACCTTCCGTTACAACCAGAGCAAGAATAATATACACAGCTACGTACTATCCCAGTCATGATTTAAATTGCTCTGACATCTTGAACAGGATGAGAGAATCAGAAAAGCTATGGGGTAAGACAGATAAACAATCACATCAAAAGCACTACTGTGCTAATTAGACAGTGACTGCTTTCCTTTTAAAAAAAAAACATATTTTGAAGGAGCAGATTAAAAAGAGGAAAGCGATGTGATGAGTGGGGGAGATTCAGTGGTTTATAATGGAAGGAAAAATATGGATCGCAAAGTTTTCAGGTAGCTTTCTCATCATCAGACACCGAGTAGGACAGATAATCTGTGCTCTGGTAAGATTATTAGATACTATCTTTTTAGAGAGGGCTTTTGAATCATATGCTATCATGCTAATTTAAGTGAGCACACACAGATGAAAAAAAAGCCAGAGAATTAAAGCTTGTGGGTTTTAGAATATATTTGAGAATAGCAAAGCTAATTTGAAGCCTCTTTGCTTGTTACGTTTACATGCACAATGATGTCTCACATGTTAAGACTGTGATTCAGCAAAAATGGAAGCACTTGCTTAAGAGACTTTCTATTCAGCACTGATTTTGCTTAAATGAAGGCTGCAAGGGTTACTTAGAGGGGCAGACAACCAAGAGCTTAAAGTAGAGAGTACATGCAGCCAGTAGTTGGAAAAGCTTAACCAGAAACCCTGCCACACAAATTCAATTTGCAATTTCTCATTTAACACAATACCTCTAAAAATCTAAGCCAACCCCTTTGGGTACAAGGCCCTGGGCTGCCTCTCCATTAAAAATATACCTTATGGAATCTTTCTATTTCTTTTTGGGTTTAGATATAAGTAACATGGGATATTAGGGAGGGAAAAACAAACCAAGACAAAACCGAAGTCTTTGGGGCAAGATATCAAGCCCAACCATTTTCAGTCCTAATAAGTGTAAGTTTTACACAAGTAACACAACAGGGAGCTTTACTGTAAACCATACACTTTTTCACGTGTTTTAGCCTTCACTATGTCTGCAGCTGTTAATGTTTGTGCCAAGAAAGAGGTCAGCTGCCCAGTGGCAGTGAGGGGCAGCCCACAGCACCCTCCCTCGCTGCCCCGGCACAGGGACAGCCTGTGCATGCAGCAAAGCGCTTTGCACCCAGCCGGTCCCTGTGCCCTGCCAGGGAAGAGTTCTGAGCCCCCCCTGCCACTTTCGTCCCTTCTGACCATAGACACAGTCAATAAAGCTGGACAACTCACATCTACAGTGGGCACTTGTAAAATTCCCTTCTGCTATTTTTATGAAAATAGAGATGAATGTTGTTTTACCCAAATCTCAACTTGGCACTAACATTCTGTTTCCCACTCATGAAGATAAACTGAACAGAGGCATGCTATCAGCATGTAAGAGGAGCAGAGGATGCGAGTAATGTCTGTTTTTCTTTAAGTTTGCCACTTCCTTCCCAGGAAGGCACACAAATAAAGCAGATTGTTTGCAGAACGCAGTGGCAATGAAGAAAAACAGCAACAAAACGAAGGACTACTGCATCATCTGTCTTGGCTCTGGAGCAAGGCACAAATCTAATTTCCTTTTCTGCAGAGCACCCAAGATCATTAGGCACTCTAAAGTATTTATGAGAGAAAAATTGCAATTTATAATGGTTGTCACTAGAACGCTGAACCATTTAAGGTTTTGACTGTGGTTTCATCCTCCTATCAGTGTCTTATGGAAATTTTAATTGGAGTAACCTGTACCTGGGCCAGATGGAAGAGAAAGGATATTCTCTTACAATTCAGTAAGAGAGGGACAGCCTCCTTTTAACTCAGATGGGGTCAGATCTATTATCAATTTGTTCAGGGAAGTCGGGGTTTGTTTTCTGGAATTAGGAAGCCACTTTCAATCTGCCCTTCTGTTGAACTTGACCTCAAAAGTAAGTTTTGATACTTCGAAAATTAAAGGTTATTCTTTGAACTGAGCTGGTTACTAAACATTTATCACTAGCAGTTTATATTTATTCATTTTAGTCATCCATATATTGATTAGCTTTTGCGTTCCATGGCTCCTATGTTATGTTTGCTCTATTCATACGTTCTTGAGATAAAGATACAATATGCTCCTGTTGTAGAACTTCCTCTGACATGGTCTACTGTGGTTTTTCAGCTTTTCCAGCTTTTCTGACTGACTGCTCCCTAAGCTTTGGACTTTCTCATTCACAGAGGGATCACAGAGAGGGAAACACCAGGCAGATAATAACAAGGAATTTGTTAACCCTGGTGAGGCTGTTCCAGCCAAATCAATATTATTTGCCATTTATTTTTTAAGTGGCAGTAGTACGTGATTAAAATTTAATCCATTGACTTTTTAAAATTAATCTAATATATTCCATAACATTCCATGTTATGTTGCGTACTATAACCTCCCTAAGTGCTAGATTTTATACTTGCAATTGAGAATAGTTTAAAAATTGAGTTCAGCCAGTTTCCTATTGATACCAAGTATTTTGTAGCAAAATCTAGAACAAGTTAAATTTAAAAGTGGTCCAGAACTGCTTCAGAAAAAAGAAAAAAAAAACACAGAAGGAAAGCCACCTCTTGGTTTGCTTCCACGTACCCTACACCAACTAGTCACACACTTTCTAGATAATCATAACTTGTAGTTTAAAAAAAAAAAAAAAAGCATCTTTGGGAAGCCGTGCAAATTGGACTCAGGAAGACTACCGTAACAACAGCTTAGCGGCAGGAACATACAGCATTCCAGTAAGGTCAACAAGTATCCTCACCATCGTAGGTATTGACTCACTGTATAGATATTGAGCAGAGTTAACACTTTCACGACCAAATTCTTATTACAGTATTTGGGAAAGCAAAACTTAGCCACAGCATGTGCCACAGGCTGTAAATATCACATTGAAAATTAACTTTCTCACATTAGGTTTTTCAACAGAATCTCCGTATTACTTTGACTTTTACCTTACCTGCATCAGGACGAGTAAAGTGATCCAGCAAGAATGTAAAAAAGCTGGATAGCTAAGTAAGGAAAAGAAAAAAACAAACACATATTGAGCAGTTCCAATAAGCATTAACATTTTACTTTCTCAGTCAGTTACTATTAATTTCTTATTTGGGGGATCTAAGTCAGCACTGTATCTTCCCATAGCATCAGTCTGCAATAACGACGCAACCTGTGGCCTACCACAAAAATTGCAGCTTACTGTTTTCCTTTTTTACTGTGAGTTAGCAGGCTGACACTATATGAATACATACAAAGTCCCAGGGCTATATCTACCCTATTGACATTTTTGGGTGTAATTCATCTTTCCTACCACGCAAATTTTTTGCCTAGACACCATAAATCACCTAACTCACTTTAGACATTGACACTAGGATGAATGCAATGCCCTAGAAGTTCCTAATATCCTATATTGACTCTAAAGGAAGCCTGGGCTGACTTGCTGAGATACTGATATCTCTGTTGCACATATCTGAGCTCAGTGACACAGTTAAAATCACCCACAGTGCAATGACCTGCACTTCCTGGCTAATAGAACAGAAACTTCTAACCTAGATGTGGCTGTACAGGCAGAATAGTGTCCTGCTGTCTATGCAGTTCATGTGCAAGGCAGGGAAGTGGTCGTACACAGGACACAGCTTTGCAGGGAGAAACACAGCCACATATCCATTCTGTTTATGCAGCTTCAGTGTTCTGGTGCTACTACAGCTGCTTGTATTGGAAGAACTGAAGATACAAACCTGCAGTTGAGCTTGCTCATCAGCATATTCAACTGACTGAAAGATACTCAGAGCACAGCGGCGCCTCATCTCTATCCGGGCCATTGTCAAACGGTACCACCTCTGGATGAGGATAGCGGCTTTAAGAGCTGCCAAAACAGAAAGCAGTGGAGCACACATGGATGCAGTGCAGTCTACAATGAAAACACACATGCTGCCTTTGCAGAATTTTTCAGATAGATGACAAATTCAATCCATTGAGCCCGGTCAGCATTAAGATGGAGCTCTGTAAAACTGAAACTGAAAAAATGTTTCCTAGTAATGAATACATGATGTATCTACTGTTTCTGTCTGCAGGGACAGATCCCGGACCATCTGACTTGTTCAGGCTTATATCATTACAAACCCTTCCCAGTTCGCCGTCCTGAAGATATTATCCATTCAAGAAGGCGACTTCATCTAGCCGGTGGATGGTATGTGGGTTTTGGGAAGGTGAGAAAAGGAGGACGACCAATTTGGTCTACAAAGAAAATGTCCTTCTTCACCAAGCTGCAATAAAAAGGTCCAGCCTTTGCAAACTCTTAACAGTGAGCATACTGTAACAATAGAGTTTGCAGCAGCTTCTTTTAATGGAAGGTTTTTGTCTGCACAGCTATGTCAGAAAGCCAGAAAAACCCTAAACCTTAGGATCAAGTGTTACTGACTGCTGTCAAAGGGCAGAATATACTGCTTAAATAGATATGCCAAAAGGTACACAGCTATCTCTTTGGCTAGTTCGGTGAACAAAGCAAAATTCATCCACAAAAATTCAATGCGACATGTCAGAAGACCATTTTGGACTTTGTGCAGAATACATATCTCACTCCACACCTTAAGAAGTTGTGTCTACCATTGTCCCAGCCTGGTAAACTACTGGAAACCTCACTGAAGGAGGATAACTTAGAGCCATATAGATCGCAGCCTAGGGTAAAAGACTTGCTGTCTACTGGCCCCACTGACGGCACAAATGGGTCTTGGTCTGGGCACTGTCTCGGGGCAGAGCTCCTCACACCCACATCGAGCTGTTAGTCCTGCGCCAACAGCAGCCGCTAGCGAGAGCTGTGCAGGGCAGGAGCTCCAGGAGCTGATGACCGCCGATCTCTCCCCACCGTGCCACAGATGCCCCCTGCTACTCCCAGTAGCCAAATGGCAGCAGTTCTCCGGAGCCAGGGTGTGAAACTTGGGTGGCAGCAGCACTGCCTGCAGCAAGTAGAGAGGAAAGGCAGCCAAGCATGCCCTAGGCGTTAAAGGTGGGAGAGTAGGAAGAGAGGCAATTTTTTTTATCCCAAAGACAGCATTATTCTAAGTAGCACTTATTTCCAGATTTTGCCACTCTCATAAGCTACATTTAACCTGCTTACTTTTCACAATTAAATTCACAAATACACTTTCCAGGAACCAGAGAAGTGCTCCTAACATTTCAAAACCTTGCACCAACAATAACATAGCCTTTGCTAATCCCCCTTCTGTCTCATGCAGTTAAATATTTAGTACTGGCAATCACAGAGAAGGACAGTGTTCTGCTATACAAAACTAGAACAAAATGCTAGCTACTGCCTTGGAGAGCTAGCAGCTGAAATAACGGCAAATGCAAATTTAGTCATTTGCCTGAATTATAGTCAGATCGTGACTCTGTATTAATGTGCTTCACCCAGCAGAGCATCAGCAGTGGCAGTTAAGAGGTATTAAATGCGTATCAGTGCATAACAGTGAGTGGAGGAGAGAGCAGGGGTATCGGATGGTAGACCTGTCCGAAGGCAGCCACACAGCCAGTGACATATTCTTGCCTGGCAATACAAGATAGAGTAAGGTGGGGGGCTGCTGTCAAGAGATGTCACATTTACTCACTTAAAGTTGAAGGTAACTCAGTTCTTTCTTGACTGGTTCCTGGCACTTTTTCCTTACCTCTTTTTCCCTGTACTCTCAGCAGGACACTAGCAGATAAGTAGACAGGGCCAGAAATGTCAAGCCTTAGCCTCCAGCCCTGCAGCTAACATCTCACGTCAATCAGTTTCCCAGGGGACTCAACCCTGAATAGCTCAGCTCAGCTAACAAAGATGACACGGAAATTCTTTACGCTTCTCCTGACCTTGGAGAAACAAGTCAAAGCAGCTGCAGAGCAACTCCATCGAGAGTACAAGGACCAAAGGAATACATTGATCTTTAGCTCCTGACACTCCCAAGAAGCACAGCTCGTCTTTGACCAGCAACACAGATGACTGGAAGAAGAGATGAAACAAAATTGAGAAGTGCTCCAGAATTCCAAAAGTTTGATAAAATCACCACTGTGCAGCATTGCAACATTATGAACAAGAAAAAAAAAGGAGAAACTAGAAACAACACTAACATCTTAACACTAATACGCTCATATTCTATTACATTTGCTGAAACAAGCAATTATTAAAGCAAAATAAAACAAAAGAAAAAAACAACAACCAATAGTCTATCTGAGGGCTTCAAGTGATTTTTTTTCTTGGGAAATAGCGTAGAAAAGCTCTGCACTAGAGGGACAACAGATTATACCAGTCAATTATTTTAGCTGATCACAAATACTTGGGATTATAAGACTAGGATAAGTGGGACCCCCTGAGTGACAATGATTTTTTCTTAAACTGACAGTAATACAGGTTAAAAAAAACCCTCTGTGGAAAAGTGACTCTATTAATATATGTATAATACTATAGAAGCATTTTTAAGAGAATATTTATTGGTTCCAAAACAGCAATAATACGTTTGTTTATTTTATGATTAACAACATAGCAGTACGGTTACAGTGGTGATGGTTTCTAGTCCACAAGGCCTAACATCAGTTAGGACTCCCATCTTGCAAATATCTCATCCCTCCTAGAAAAAATCCTCCTGTCTGAAGGAAATCTAATCTTGTTATGGCCAAGAACATCCTCCCTACATAAGCTTCCGAGCTGTCTCCTTTATTTTCTCTCCTTTCTGGAATTCCCCCTCACACACACTGAACAGCCTGACACATCACAGCCGGGGTGGCATCAGCTTAGAAGAGTACCCGAGGGGGCAGAGCATAGCCACCAGCACAGAAACCGATTTCCAGTGTCAGAACCGTGAAACTTCCCCGAGTCAACAGCAACGAGTGTTGCTTTCAACCCCTCTGGGTTGTTTAATGGTCTGGTCCTAGGCACGTAACATAGCACAGGCCCACTGAAATCTCATGAGGCAGATACGTTTATCAACAACTATGGGTAACGCTGCAACTCTTAACAGAATCTTTCCTGTCATTTTTTTTAATTGTATACTTATTACAGCACTGTCACTCTCAGTAATAAATCAGACGGCACTTAAATTGTCACACTGTGCTAAAGTGCTTGCGTAAAAGAAAGCGTTACCAGTTGTGGGAGGTCAAGCACCTGTAAAATTCATATCGTTAATGCACCAGAGGGACGTACAGCCTAAGGGTGCAGTTAGAACGACGGTTCTGCATAAAATTATAAGCTAGCTTTGGGGCAGTGACGCCTGGCTCCACACCAGCGTGTAGTGATGGTGCATGCTGTAGACTGAGAGAGTTCAGCACCTCGCGTCCTCTCCGAGCTTTTGCAGCCTCAGCAACGTTCCCAACTGACACGTCTCTGAGGCCTTGCAGGGCACATACACGCACAGCACGCAAAACTGAAGAGGAAGGACCACTTCTCAGTTGTAGGTGGGTCTGGGTCTCCAGAAATTTCCATTCTAGCTCTACTGCTATTATACAGCACCAGTGATGCTGTGGCTGCCAAGAAGTATAGACAGAGCTGAGAAACCAACCTTAAACCAGTCAGCTTCGATCCCCATCACCACGACTAAGTTGTCCTGCTTCTTACGGTCATTGGTTTCCTGGGACTTGTGTTCTGGTTCTTTGGCTCTGTAGCCAGAAACAGGCTTCCCTTACACACATGGTTATTCACTGTAATAGTCTCTCAAGACAACACATAGTGCCTAGTATAATGGCTCCTGACAGATCTTTGAATTTTACTATAACTATAAATCTTGAACAAGACCAGGAAAGGTCTGAACAAACTTCTTTGAGCAAATACTGGTCCCCACATGCCTGTGCAAAGCCCAGATATGTTTATACTGGAGTGTGACGTGTTTAAAAAGCAAGGGGATGATAGCTTAATTTTTAATTGAACTTTCATCTAGGTCCTGCAGAGACTTTCAACTGTCAGCTTCAGTGACCATCAGGGAGAATTTCAGGCCAAGCACTGTGTATGGTAGAAAATTGATTCTGAAAGTCACTGTAGTGGCTCTGTTTTACTACAATTGGTTCATAATCAGGGTCACCCAGCAGGAAGGAAACTGGAGCAGTTTGCCCAGGAACCCAGTGTTGTGAAAGGCCATAGAGGGGGCCCTTCTCAATACATTACCCCATACACTTCAGCACTGACAGAGAGAGAGAGAGCGCGAGAGCGCGCATGTGCACTGAAATTCAACTTCTGTCCTGGGTGATCCAAATCTTTTCCCACCCAACCTGCAGATATTACAGGTGCTTTACAGTAGCCTCCTGACCTCAGGAGCTATGCACTCCTTTAAAAAGGAGACAACAGGACTTGGGGGGAAATGTTACCTCTTCCGGTTTTATAGAGAGAACAACCACTGACTGTGAAGACAAAGACAGCACTCACCTCTCTCTGATTTTTTTGCCTCATGGACAAGTACAGAAGTTTTACATCCCATGGCTCCAGTGCAGACGTCCATCAGTTTAGTTGCTCCTGACAGGAAACATTTCTCTCAGCTGGTAGCATTTCCTGTGTTGTTCCTTCAGCCACAAGGAGTGTATCAGCTGTGCTCTTGCTACCAGTCCTAAGAGCAAGAGGAGTGGGAAAGGTGTGTGGGGAGGGGGGAAGAGTGATTGACAACATGGACTCTGAAGTACCTGCAGCTCATTCCAAATTACTTTACAGCGCTCCGACACAAACTGGACCTAATAAATCATACCGGATTTATTTTTCAGATCTCATCACCATCAACTTGCATTCAAGACAGATGAACTCAGTAATGAATATAGTTTCCTTCCTACATGCTAGCTGAAAGCTAACGTTCATCAGTGATTTCTTAATTGTAAGTACGGCTATTTAAAGCCTTCCTAGCAGGGACAAGAAACTACAGAAGAATGCTACTCTTCATTCTTCTGATTTGAAAATGGGGACTGCAGAATATCAAGGACTCTAAATTACATCAGATATTACTGCTAAACAAAACCAAACCCCAGCCCTCCTCACACTCTGTCCATTTGAAAAGATGCTGTATCATCCTGTCTATCACTTCATCCCTCAGTGTCCTAATGCTGTTGTTTATCAGTTTCTTTACAGAGAGAAGTTTTCTCACACATGCTAGATGAACCAAAATCCCTACCATAGATTCATACACAATAAAAGGGTCACCACCACAAAACGTACAAGGAGAGACAGTGCCATAGCTAAGTGTTTGATAATTAGATTTCACTTTAAGTGAACATCCATCTTTCTCTTGCACTTCTCCTGAAGCGTTCTAAACTAAAGATTTGGTTTCATTAAATAAATGAACACAGTACATTTTGTAATGTGGCCTTTCCCCTGGCATTTGCTCATTTCCTCATCAATTTGTATCATTCGCTAATCTGCAATACCAAGTTCAAATGAATAAAATTCCACTGAGACACAAAACGGGTTAATTTCTAAGTAACAAAAAAGTCATTGATGCTTTAGAGGCTGAGTTCTGTTTTAGCTGAAGACTTCTTACAGGAACACACTGACCCCACTCTCTCCCTCCCCATGAGGACTTGTTACTCTCTAGCATGTCTAACATGTCTAAATTACTGCATTTATTATATTCCTTATCTTTTAATTGAATTTAACACAAAAGAAATTCATTACCATAAAATGAGTGCTTAACGACTATTTTTGCTTTTGTTTTTGTACTAGCAAGCATAACTATAACAGGAAGATAAAAGACAGAAACAAAGAAACAAATGTTTAACTAGCCTATTTTCAAGATCAAAAGTTAGAATGTGTTTATTGGGCTATTTTCAGGGTCCCACAGCACAAGGGTATCCTACACTTGTGTCAGGACTGCCAGCTTCTAAGTTAGTATTTATTTCAGGACAGGATTTTTATTTTTCCCCCACAATGTACTCTGCTCGTCTTTCCTCTAAAGGAGTTAACGCTGAACACCAAACGAGTGCTGTTACATTATTTTGATCAAAACAATGGCTTTGATAACATCTAATAGAGCACTGATATTGCTAATAGCTCAACTTTTCTCTCCAAACAATTGTTATTATCCTGAATACCATCTCCTCACTTGCCTTCCTAGGAGAATCTGGAACCTGCATTAGTCTTTCCCACGCCCACCAGTCACAACTTCATCCTAGCCTTCAGATCATAAATCAAGAGCAAAACAGAACTTACAGTCTAAGCCCTATTTCAGCAAGATCATCCTCACTAAGGTGCAGGTAGGTCTGTGCCCAGTGTCCGGGCAACAACACAGACAAACAGAACCACGGCAGCTCCCAGAACTCCCTCCGAGCCTCGCAAACAGCGGTAGCCGCTGGCCCAAGGAGCAGCGATGTGAACTGTTCTCATACACTACTTTGAACCATTTAAGCTTTTCTCCCAAACATCCTCATTCTTCTCTCCACTTACGTATGAATTCTTGGATTTCTAGCACCTCCCTGAGCCAAGAAATAGAAAAGATAAGCGACATAAGAACAGAAATTTTATGGCAATCGTAGGAAACGCCTGAAATATACACACAAAACTTGGAGGAAAACTTGTACAAGTATACCCCATCATGAAATCTCTGTTAAAAAATACAAATCTGGCCATCAGAGAGCTACTCGGGAATAATCTTCATCTTCAGTCCTGAATGTCTGCATCCTAACACAAACATAGCTAACATTCAAACTCCTATCCAGCCTCCTGAAGGCTTCTCAGGTGGTTACAGCCAACTGACACTAGCAGCCAACCTGCATTTCCAGACTTCACAAAGCCACATCTAGCAAAGAGTCCAGCAGGGGCTCCATCCAGGCTGGGCAAACTCACTTATTGCCTTGCTGGCCTGACTAGAGAATCATGAACAACTGGAACAACGCACAGCGGAAAGAGCCAGCACCTCACCCGGTCAGAGACTCTTCACTGCTCCTAACTGAGCACCTCCAAAGGGAGAAGTCCTGTCCCCGCCAGGCACATCAGTTCCAGCCACCTTGTGTGCAGTGCCAAGCACTGCCTTCTTGGGCCAACTGAGAGGAAAACACGAGGCAAAAATGAGGAAGACCCATCATTGGGAAGAGCTTGAAAAATATGTATTTAAAATAGTATATTAATTTACCAAGGTATCAGAAAAGGTTTCAGAGATAAACAGTAGCTAGTTCCATGAGAATCTGGGACCTAATGCTGTGTTAGCATTCTCGTAATCAGATCACTGATTTAACTTTAAGAGAGAACATATGATGTTCATTGAAAAACAGGCAATGACTCAGTATCTACAGGCCATTGACCAGTCCCATTTCCAGAAACTGCTGTATTTCTCTCAGTTCAGCAAAAAGACAATTTTGTGATGGATAGGCACTGAATACATAGCCCATCTGCTGAAGCAAAATAAAGTGTCGTTCCAACTATGCCAAGAGACATGCATCAAGCTAAGCAGGAGTGGCGCATGCTGTTCTTTTTCTGGATAGGAGTCACTGAAGCGTAACCTGCCACAGGTATTCAGAAACTTAGGTCTTGGGACCTGAGCTGTCAAGAGCCTGGCTTACAGAGATGATGAACAAGCACCATTTGATCTGGATTTAATAGGTGCTGCCCAAAATCAATCATGCCTTCAGTTTATCAGTCACATAAAGACTGGGCTGCCTCAGGAATAAAAGGAAATCTTGTAAAGATTTATAGCTGACTTTTAATGAAATCAGGCTGCAGGTCCTTTGGGCACAGAGCCATCCTTTCAAGCATAGCATATTTTTTAAAAATTAGAGGATATGTGCTACTGGCAGAAAAGTGTAAGCTAGGTCAAGCCTGAGGAGATGGAGGCCATACAAAAGAGAGCCACTAAGCTTTAGCTTCTCATTCTCTCCTTATTCCATTTGTTTCTTACCTTTGATAAACACAGAATGAGAGGTTCCTCCCTTTATTTTTGTCTGGATGGAATTTCCACAGCTATGCTACTTGCCCTGCAAGGTGTTTCAACAGCTACCTCCAGCAACGCGCCTTCTTTCCCTTCTAGCCCCTTTCTCAACTGTACTTGTGATCAGGTAGTCATGATGTCCTCCCACAGCATGTGTCAGAACATACGCATGGTTGGAGTGGTTGTGAGATGGGGACAGTTTTCTCCATAAAGATAGGATAGATCAATGGATGGATCCTTCTAAAGCCAGAGGCTTTGCTTTGATGTCTTCTTGCTATTAATTTTTTAATTTTCTGTGACTCATAGTCTTGGAATCGCTTTCTTTGGACATGAGGACTGCAGAGAACGGAGAAACAGATGCTATAACATGGGTTTATGATGGATTCTCTTCTGTGCATTGCTGAGGGAATCAAGCAGGAGAGAGAGCAAAATATGCTGGAGAGGAGAACCCAGGCATTAGAACACACTAGCCAGGGGAGTATAGGTAGAGAGACAACTCTTCAAAATAGTCTTGCTGACAGAGATGGGATTGTCAAGGTTGGGAACCTAGAGACGAGTTAAAGACATTCACCAGCTAAAAGATACACTTTGCAGAAAGTGGGTTGTTGCATCCATCACAGTCGGCTAAGGGAGTGAAAGACACCCTGGTTATGGAACACAAGAGCTCTAATTTTGACAGTGCTGCTGAATTTGGTCTACCATGGGCCTGATACAGGAACACCAAGCACAGGCAAAGCAGTATGTGTTCAGGTCTCTGTTAGTTTATCTATGGGACAAAGTGACATTTCTATTAAGTGACTTTCAGTGATTATACATAGGAAGGAAAGAAAGGAGAAAGTCTTTTTGTCTCAATATATTCATCAAAATATGACAAGTAACAGACAGACAATTTCTTTAGTCAGCTCAGAAAAAGAAAGTTAAGCTCAATACAGAACCGATGCAATCATTTCTAGGAATGGCTGTGTTGATAGATCTCAGTGTTTGAGCCAGCAATCAATCGCGAAAGGATGTAGTAAGATATCGGAAAGCCAGTAAAGCCTTACGGAAAGAGACTAGGATGAAAACAGACCAGCTCATTAAGGCAGACTCCTATTCCTGATCCCAAAAATCCAATGCAAAAATTAATATAAGCAAGAGCTGCAAAGATGTGAACACGCAGAGATTGTGCAAACAATCAGCGAGTTCAGGAACTGCATGGAAACTCAAAGAAAGTCTGTGGGAAAATGATAGGAGAAAGTCAGTTTGTGTTATTTACATGTTAACAAAGGATACATTTACACAAAACATTTGCATTTTTTGTGTAGAAAATAAATAAATAAAGCAAACATCCTCATTTTTTTGTGCAGAAAGACTTTGACTGGGGAGAAAGTGTACAAGTATGCAAATAGGGTGCAGCTCACCTGGAAGTATAAACAAAGCCATCAGATCACTTTTCAGAAACATGAAATGCCTCTAGAGAGAGAATCCTTTAGGAACCAAGAAGAAGACTCAAAATTCTGAAGATCAACATTAGTTCTAGTAAACTGGACCCAGCTGGAGCGGAAGGGTCAACAACAGTTGGACCTCAGCATTTGGAGGAAAAGGGAATTATGAATTTCCCACCATCCTGCAGTTATTGAGTAGACTCTTAATGACATCCCGTTTAATTCTCCTTTTTTGCAGGGAGGAAGTGGCTAAAAAGCAGGGCTCTAGAATGAACTAAACACGCGTTGAAATCTGAGCCAATTTAAAAACGAAATTCATACCTCAGTTGAAGTTTATAATGGTTTTAATAAAGTTTAAGTATCATAATAAGTTTCAAGTTTATCATTACAAAACCAGCTTTTTACTACAAATATACATATATATATATACATATACATACATACATATATATATATATATACACACACACACACATATATATATGAAATACAGTAATCTCAAAACTATTTGACCTCATCGGTATTCAGAAGTTCTATATAACTGATTCAGTCCAGGTCAGACATTACAGCATGAAGCACACTGATTTTTATCAAGGCAAAATCATCAGTTGCACCACATACATCAGTCATTCACTTCACAGACTTAGGAGGCAGGCAATTTGCTCTTTACAAGTGAGCTAGGAAAAAACTATACCCCACCCAAATAAATTACCTGTTATTTTTTTTTATGCTTCAGCAGTGCAGAGATTTTCCCATAAGAGCTTCTTTAGAAGATTTTTTTTTAAGATAAAGCAGTCCTTTCCTGAAACCAGAACTGCACAATGAGGGGTGCAGATCTGTAGAACAGGTGCCCTAATTCTCTCTGGGGCTCTGGAGCTCATGAACTGCAATACAGTTGCTCTCCACGTACTTATATAGCTTCCTGAGAGGAAATGTCTTGATCCTTGCTTTTCGAAAGCAGTCAGTGGAAAATGCCATTTTCATCGTCCAGCCTGATGTGAAAGCTCATGACTGCAGCTCTACAGCTGCACTGCCTGCATGCGGATACAGAGCTGTTTTGTCAACATGCTTCCTGAATCTCAGGCAGAGAAAGGGATGGGCTGAAGTTATCTGCTTCACATCTGAAGTCACATGATCTTTCAAGAGGAATGGCCTCTCTGCTGCGATGAGACAATGATTTGCATTTTAGTAGATCTAGTCTGCAAGCAAAAAAACATAGGGACTGTTCAGGTATGTGGATATCCGATATGTATACATTAGTGATGTTAATGTTCTCTATAACACTCATATCCAGGTAAGTATGAAGTACCCTGATGTTATGTTCAGAAGCACTGCATAACACCTATACATTTCATTTCTTCATGTGCATGCACATATTCTCCCCATAAATGTGGGGATTTAGTGAGCTCAGTCCATGGTTTGGCCCATCTGTTGCCTGTGTGACTACCGGAAAGGGATCAGGGACGTGCATGTCTGACACATCTCCTCACTATGCTGGTCATGGACTCTCCGTCCCTTCACAGGCGCTTGGGGAAAGGCAAAACCGTCAAGCCCAAGGCGCTTTGTTATTGCCTGATGCGAGCCTGATGGCCCCAGAAGAATCTGCCACTTCTTGCATGGGGCAATATATTGATAGCACGGTAACACTGGACTTTTGAAAACATGCAATACCAAACAACTCAAAAATATTAAGTGTCAGTACAAGCATGGTATTCCAATACCACCAATATAGTCCTGGGCCCAGATCTGAGCATCAGTCATCCCATTCCTCCACGCTGACCTCCCATCTGTCCTTACACCCTCCTCATCCAGCTGGGGAGGGGCTGCTTGCTTCTCCTCTGTGCAAAGTAATGGGATAGAGCACAGCAGCCACGTTCATGGAGTCACTGGAGGGGCCTGGGGGTCCAAAGGGGGCTATGGGCCATAAGGCGTGCTGTGGTGGGCAGGAAGCTCTATGTGGATGGAACATGAGATAAGGATCACAATGTCCCCTTGCACTGCACCCTCTCCACATGATGGAGTTCCCCAAGGACAGGTCCTGTTCCCTCAGGAACTCAGACTGGACAGGAAACAAAAGATTTATGAGGAGAGAGAGAAAGAGAGCAAGATCCCCACTCTGTGGCCCTCAAAGGTCTAATAGTACTGTAACATGTATTTTCAGGACACTTTTGCTATCAGTCTGCTGACAGATCTATCACGGCCGCTAGCAGGATGTTCTTGTGAAGGCACTCAGACAGAGTCATTGGATCATCTTATGGGACAGACAGACAAGTTCCCCTACTGTGACAGAATGGACACATTTTTTAATGTGTAAATGTATTTTAAAGTGCCAAGCCACCAAAGCAGAACGCCCTGTGCGAATGTACTGGTTTGACTGACTGAGCTAGCCCTCTGAGGTTCTGAAATCCCAGACACGTTTTTAAGGCTATTTCTCTTCTGTGAAAATAGGTAGTAAATGAAATACATACTAGGGATGATAATTCTGCATGACCCAGAAGAGGTTTGATGTTTGTTTTTCTGGCAGGATGCACTTTCCCTGATCAGAGTTACAGTATCTAATCATTTATTTTGGCACTGTACTGCCAAAATGCACGCAAGCAAAATTGCATCATAACCTCTCCCCGCTACACTCTGGGGATATATGCTATTTATAAAACATTTACTGTAACTGACAAATTCATCTATATTGCCATTTACCAGGATTTCTGCATAATGAGATGCTATAAGGTTTGTTCCAACTGCCAAGAAGTCCATCAGAATTACTTACTCCTAGATCAATGGGAGAGGGATCAAACCCTTAGCTGTTTGATTCTGTAGGACACAAATCCCCGCTACAGGTTTTCTCCTGTTATTCATAAAAGTTGTGCATCCTCTGTCTCACTGGTCTAATGTGACCAAGCAGTCTGATAGAGTCAGTCTCGCTGCACTGAGCCACCTCTCCAGTTACGAATGGAGATCACAATAACATGCAACTTGAGGAAACACAAATAAACCTGCTTTCCAAATTAACCTTTCCTGTCCAAGTCCAAGGACATCGGCTGTACCTAACAAAACCATCCTCCTGCCTACATAGGGCAAAGAAAACGCAGCAGTCCCACCAACGAGGCCACACACACTACATGCTTTTGCCCAGCAGTCATGCATCACATGCACACTTAAGAAGCTGAGAAGAATTTCAGCAAGCACCAACAGCTGCAACAGACAGCAGGAAACACAGATCTGACAAGATGTTGTTCAGCAGTCTAGCACCACAAAAACAAACAAACAGTTACGTTGCTAGTGCAGACACTGGGATATCCCTTTCTAAGCAGTCCTTCTTGAAATAATACCCCATATTCTGCTTGGAATACTTTGGAAACATTAAACTCCTAAACGAGCCTCCGTGCTGGCATTCCACATACATAATTGAAATTCTGCTTCAGGCTTATTTCTCAGAAGCACCCACTGCAAAGTGATGTAACTGCTATTTTTCAAAAAGACTGAAAAGGATCATAGTCAAAACGAATACGTTCCTTCTGAGCTCTGACCACGGTTCCTTTCCTCTTGGCCTATCTAAGTCCAGGAAAGTATTTTTGTATGATCCAACGATGTATTTTAAAGTACTAGCCAGGGGCCAAATTCCTGACTGAGACACCTAAATACGCAGTCACAAACAGAAGGAACAAAAAGAATAAAAGAGAGAAGGAGAGAAATAAATGGCTAGAACAACTTTATCCATTATTGGGTTTTTTTTTCATATTAAACTTGGTCAGTGAGACATCAGAAATATGTTCTCACAAATCTGATGGAGAAGGTTAACTTTGATGAGCAGGAAAATAAATTTCTCCTCTCAAGTAGATAATTCTGAGTGAGAAGATGATAAATAAAAGGCGTCAAAATTAGCATCCTTGGCAAAGAGAACACAAAATCAGAAATGTGGGCCAAAAAGGCAGCTGCAGGGTCTTGAAACTGCTGAAGGCCAAGAAGCTCAGCCAGGACGCTAGGAAAGCATTGAGGTACCTTCTGTAAAAATGAAAACAAATCAAAATTCCCCAGAAAAGTTCCCAAATTATCAACTGATTGCAGATTACTGTGAAAAGCAGTGCCTAATGGCATAATCTGCACTACTCCCCTTCCCTCCCAAGTCAGCCTCAGCCTCCACTTGGAGCCTATAGAGATGGTAGTTATCTACAGTATTAATGGTCAGTATCTAAAAGGAATTTTGTCTATTTTTTTAAAAGATTGGTAACTGCCAGCCAGTAAGTATAGCCCTCACATACACGGTGGGAGAAGGTCAGAAAAGTCCAAGAAAATAATTTTCTTCACTTCTATTTTCATCTTACCCCTATGAAAATGCTGCTAATGACAAAACAGTGCTAACTTTTCTATCTTGCAATAGTCAGCTGCTTCAGCAAAATGCAAATAATTTCAAGAGTCAAGACAACAGTTACCCCGGTTTACTTGTAGGCATCATATAGTTCTGAAAATTACCATACTTTTATATTCCAAATAATAGTTTCTCATCGCAACTTTTAATCACAGTCCTGTAAACACCTGTACCGAGGCCTTAACTTTTACTTCTGGAGTACATCTCCTTTGGGATGCGAGGACTTGGTATGGTGAGCACTGAGATAACCTGAATAGCACAAAACTCCAGAAAAGATGTAACATAAAACAAGGTCATTAATGCATTCAGTGTGGTGTAGCCGAAGAAAACACAGCCCTTGAAGGAATATCTGCCTGATCAAGATGAGCCCCGAACTGCACAGAAGCAGTTGCACTGCTCTTTACTCTCACATAGAGCCATATTTTACAGCAATTACACCATCAATCCACAACCTAAGTAATCTTGCATATTCTTTGGCAGTGGGGATGGGTGGCTAGCATGAGTAGCTCCATGAGTTTCCCATCATTAAAGACACACCTACAAACACTGAGGCCTTATCATGCTACATTGACATGTAATAAAAGATTTTCTTTGCAAAAATTCAGTTACACAGAGTATTATTCGCAACACCCACAGATGGAGCTTCACAGCAAAGGCATGCATATGCAAAGCTACAGCATTAAATGAAATAATTGCGATAAGGAGAACACTGGCCTGGCAGTGAGGTAATAAGGAACTCCTCAACGCAAGTGCTGGGAGCCCTCTGCTGACTGAGTAATATAATCCAGGAGAGAAGTTGCTAAGAGATATTCAGCAGAATCTCCCGTCTTTTAGCATACCGCTGGTGTTCAGTGGCACGTGTTGACCGCATCCGTCCATTTAGCACATCCAAACCCACGTTCCTCTCAGTCCAGCCATCACCTGAACCACTATAACTGGATGGTTCAAGCACATACAGACTTTACATGCTAAAAGGCATTTAAGAGGTACAGTGGCGTGGGGAAAAGCTCCCATTTCAGGGCTTCTGCCCCTACCTTAAGTTCCGCTTTTTAAGGAAAATCCTTAATTTTCTCAAGATAGATTTTTGAAAGCAAACATTCTTGTTTTCATGCTCCATTTTGAAAACACTCATTAGTATGTACCATGCTGCATCTGAGGGGATAAATCATAATTTTCACAGATCCATTATGCACCACACAACAGCTTCCTCAAGGGCATTACTGACACGGACAAACTTAAAATTCTGCCTTGTTTCTCTGTACGCTATTTAAAACACTGTCTTCTGTACCAAGAAAATCATCCACATCTTCCTCCCCCACTGAAAAGAGAGTTAAAACACTCTGCAGCAAGCAGTGTAGCACTTTCCCATGACTTAATTTACAACAAATCCACACAGCCAGCTTCCCCAGAAACCGCAGGGTTGTTGATGCACCTCTCATTGAGCTCAGCCTGCCCTTCCCATGCCTTGGTCAACCTGCTGGGTACTGAAATGCAATAGAGCAGCTTTACATCCTCTGTTCCCTACTTAATTGTCAAGAACAGAGCAGCCTAGCAAATCAAAGGAGCAGCAGGATGTGCAGCAAGGCTTGCCAGCCGTTTCTGAGAGGGGGTGGACGGCAACGACGTTGGGAGGGCATCAGCTGAAAGCGAAGAGGGACCATATACATGCCTGGGAAAGGAGGGCCCACGCTACCCATTACATGCAGTGTTCATGCCCTAACAGGACCCCTGCCCTCCAGACTGATTAGCTAGGTCTCTCGGCTGTGTTTTGTGGGCAGACCTGGCTGCAAGGCTGCCAGCGGAAAGGCCCTAACACACGGAGGCATGCCTACAAGTGTAGAAAAACCTTACCTGCGGCTCCCCACAGCATGAAAGCTATTAAAGTGATTTACCCCCTTCACTGCTCCTCTGTAGGTGAGGACCAGAAAACGCATCAAGATAATACATTTTTAATTACCACATTTTTAATTAACTAGTAATTCAAAAAAAAAAAGAAAAAAAAAAAGAAAAAAAAAAACCCACGCCGGCGGTTGCAGCCCCAGGGCGCTGCTTCGCCCGCCCGGCCCAGAGAGGTGGTGGAGTCTCCTTCGCTGGAGATATTGAAAACCCGCCTGGACGCGATCCTGGGCAATATGCTGTAGAGGACCCTGCTTGAGCAGGGGGGTTGGACTAGATGATCTCCAGAGGTCCCTTCCAACCTCGACCATTCTATGTGATTCTGTGATTCGGTGGTAAGTGAGCAGTGGTGGTTCCATAGTGTAGTGGTTATCACGTCTGCTTTACACGCAGAAGGTCCTGGGTTCGAGCCCCAGTGGAACCAACCCCGAGGGGTGCCTTTTTTGCCTTTTTTTTTTTAATCCTCCTTTTTTCTTTCTTCCTAAACCGCTCTCATCTTTTTCCTCTGCTTCTCATCTCTTCTTCTTTTCCTTCCCCCCAAGATAGGCGACCTTATTAAGCACGTAAATAAAAGCCCAGGACCGGCAATGGGGTGAAAGAAGAGAGGAGGTGTGGGTGTTGCGGGCAGTGGAAAGCTCTCTGCTGATTTTTGTTAAAATGGAGAAAGCCCGGCCCTGCAAGAGAAGCAATCTGGTTTGCTAAGCCCTTCCATCAGAGTGCAGGAGTCACATGTTTATTGGAGAGAGCCCAGAGTAAAAGAAAACAGGTCTGTGCTTTCCGAAGGACCTGCGCAAAAGCACTTGTTTCTAAGAGCAGGGACGGGATTTAGACGCCGTCGCTGCAGCGCTTCCTTTTTTCCCCTGCCTTGCTTTTCCGCAACCATCCTGAACACAAACGGGGAAGAGACCCAGCGAGGGCTGATTCCTCCTGGCAGCGGCCTCTTTTCGCGGGCCTCTTTTTGGGGCGTCGTAGCCGCCGTACTGACACCTGCACGCCCATGTGAGGAGGGCAGGGAGGGCCCGGGCTGGCGCAGGCCCAGGACGCGTCCCCAGGGGCAAAGGCGGCCGGAAAGGCGCCTCGCTGGGGCGAAGGGACGCCCCTCCGCTTCCCTAATAAAAAAGACATCGTCTCTCCCTGACTTATACCCGTAGGCCCCCGGCCGCCCCAGGGGCAACCGGTGCCGTGGGCTCTGCTGAGGGACGGCTGCAGCCCTTAACCCTGCGCTCGTTTTCCCCGCTTCGGCGCCTGTCGTTTGTTTTCACCCGTGATCTTTCCTGTGTGCCATCATGAATAAGAGTATTTTAAAAAATACATCAACGAGGGGAGGGAGGGATTGGGAATCTCAAATTGCTGGGGACCAATTTAACTTTACATAGATAAAGCCATATACATATATATATGTATATATATGGCTTTACATATACATACATATACATATACATATACA